AAAAATTGGGAGTTTTATTCATTGTTGGTGGATCTGTGAGCTGATTCAACCATTTTGGGGAGCTATCTGGAATAATGCCCAAAGAGTTCTTAAATTGCCACATTTTCACCCAGCAATACCACTATGTGACCTGTTTCTTAAGATGATTAGGAAAAAGAAAAAGAACTTGTATCTTCTAAAATTTTTATAGCAGCACTGTTTGTGGTGGCAAGGAACTGAAAATTGCAGGGATGCCTGTCAATTGGGGAATGGCTAAACAAATTGTGATATATGTTCATGATGAAATATTACTCCGCTATAAAAAATGATGAGCTCAATGATTTTAGAAAAGCATGGAGATACCTCCATGAAATAACGAAGAGTAAAATGAGCAGAACCAAGAGAACATTGTAAAGAGTGGCAGCAGTATTGTTTTAAGAATAACTTTGAGCAACCAAGTCATTCCATTATAAATACCCAAATTAACCATAGATCCTATGAAGGAAGATGCTGTTTGTAAACAGAGAAATAACTGACATATACATACATACATACATACATACATATATATATATACACATATACACACATATACATATGCAGACACATACACATACACACATATTTGTATGTAATGGTAGCTATTTCAAAGTTTGGAGGGGGGAAGAAAGTCATATGATAACTTTGTCGTATATTTGAAAGGAATAGCAGGTTGTACGTAATGAACCTGCAATTTCAGGTGCAATCCTCTATTTTTCTATCTCACTTTGCTATGTAAATGCTTGTTTTATTTCTTACATTCAGAATAAAACAAACAAATTAATTTAAAGATAAAATAAATTTTAAGAGGTAAATGAGATTAATAGAATTTTAGAGAAGTTAGATTTGATAGATCTCTGGAGAATATTAAATTGGAATAGAAAGGAATATAACTTGTTCTCAGCTCTGCATGACACTTTCAAAAAAATTGACCATGTATTAGGGCATAAACACCTCACAAACAAAGGAAAAGTGGAAATAATGAACATAAATTTTTTTAGTCATATTGCAATAAAATTGCATTCATCAAGGACCTTGGAAGGATAGAATAATATTAATTGTAAAGTACATAGTCTACTCTTAATGAATGAGTGGGTTAAGGAACAGATAATAGAAACACTTCAAAGTTTCATTAAAGATAATGAGAATGATGAGACAACAGCCCCAAATTTGTGAGTTTCAGCCAAAACAGAACTTAATGGAAAATTTATATCTATAAATGCTTACATCAATAAGAGAAATAAGCAGATCAATGAATTGAGCATGCAACTAAAAAAAAACTAAACAAAAACAAAAAATGAAAAATCCCCCCAAATAAATACCATATTAGAAATCCTGAAAATCAAAGGAGAGAATAGTAAAATTGAAGGTTTAAAAATTAGACTAATAAATAAAAATATGAACTAGTTTTATGGAAAGAACAATAAAACATAAACCTTTAACTAACTATTATTTATTTATTTTTAATATTTTTGTCTTTTTAAATTTTGAATTCCATCTTCTTTCCCTCCCTATCGCTACTCTCCCCAACCACTGAAAAGAGAAGCAAAATGAAATCAATCACACATGTGAAACCATGCAAAACATATTTCCACTTTAGCAATATATATAAATACATATATATATGAAGAGAGAGAGAGAGAGAAATTATACTTCAATTTGCAATCTGATTTTACCAGTTCTCATTCAAGAGGTGGATAATATGTTTTTTAACATGAGTCCTTTGGAATTTTCTCAGATCATTATATTTATCAGAGTAATTAAGCCTTTCACAGTTGATCATCAATACAATATTGCTTTTATTGTGCACGATGTTCTTCTAGCTCTTCTCACTTCACTTTCCATCAGTTCTATCAGGTCTTGGTGTGTTATTTTTTTCTTTTGGGAAACCATCCCCTCCCATTTTTTATAACACAAAAGTACTCCATCATAAATCATACAAAACAACTTGTGCATCTATTTCCCAGTTGATGGGCATCCCTTCAATTTCCAGTTCTTTACCCCCAAAAAGATCTGCTAAAATTATTTTACTTATAAGGCCTTTTTATTTTACTTTGATCTATCTGGTGTACAGACCTAGTAGTTGTATTGCTGAGTCAAAGGTATGCACAGTTTTATAGCCCTTTGGACATACTTCCAAATGGTTCTCCAGAATGGTAGGACAAGTTCACAACTCCAACACTTTATTAGTGTACCTATTTTCCTTCATCCCCATCGGCTTTTTTCATTTCTGATAGGTATGAGGTAGTTCTGCATTTTTAATTTGCATTTTTCTAATCAAAAGTGCTTTAGATCATTTTTTCATATGACTATATCAGATAGCTTTGATTTCTTCTGAAAACTGCCTGTTCATATCCTTAGACCATTTTTCTGTTAGGGAATGGCTCTACACATTTGACTCAATTCTCTGCATATTTGAGAAATTAAACCTTTGTCAGAGAAATTTGCTATAAAACTTCTTGATGTCACCTCACAGTCTATGGTACCTTTGAGCCAAATGAAGTTTCCCTGATGATCTCTTTTAATTAGATCTCTTTTTGCTGTTGCTTTGTTGGAGATCATGATTGCAAACACAGCCCTTTTTTTAACTTCACCTCAACCTTAATAAATTTGATACAGCCCTTTATTTTAACTCCATTTTTTTAATCTTAATTGGGTCTCTTCTAAATAATATATTGCTGAATTATGGTTTCTCATCCATTCTGCTATCTACTCCCAATTTATGGTGAGCTCATCCCATTCAAATTCATGGTTATAATGATTAACTATATTTCCTTCCATTCTATTTTGTTCTATTTATCCTTCTCTCTTTTTACTCAGTCTCCCCTCAGAATTCTGTTTTGCTTCTGACCACTGCCTCTCTTAAACCACCCTCTTTTTTATCTTCCCTATTCCCATTTCTATTATCCCCTTGACCTCCTGTTTTCCTATTGGACAAAATAGATTTCCTTACCCAATTGTGTGTGTGTGTATGTGTGTGTGTGTGTGTGTACAAATACATACATATATACATACACACAAATATGAAAGACATGAAAATAGATTGAGGATAGAAAACCTGAGAATTATTGGAGCTCCTGAAATCCACAACCAAAGAAAAAATAGCTTACATATTATATTTTAAAGAAATTCTGAAGGAAAACTGCTCAGCTATCTTAGATTGAGAGGGTAAAATAGTTATTGAAAGAATCCACCAAACATCTGCTGAAAGAGATTCCAAAATGAAAACTATCAAGAACATTACAGACAAATTCTAGAAATCCCAGGACAAGGAAATTTTTTTTCAAATAGCCAAAAAGAGATAGTTCAAATTTCATGGATCACAAAAGTTAAGATCACAAAAGATTTAGCAACTTTCATTTTAAGGGATCTTGAAATGTGATATTCTAGCAAAGGAGCTAGGATTACAACCAAGAAAAACCTACCCAGCAAAATTGAGCATAATCTTTCAGAGGAAAAACAGACATCTAATAGAATAGAGTATTTTCAAGCTTTCTGGATGAATAGGTTAGAGATGATAGAAAATTTGACATTCAAAAACAGGACTCAAGAGAAGTATAAAAAGGTAAACTTGAATGAAGAATCATAAGAGATTCAAAAAGATTAAGCTGCTTATATTCCTATATGGGAAGATGATAAATGTAACTCTGAAAAAGTTATCATCATAAGGACAGTTAGAAGGAGTCTACATACACAGAGAGCATGAGTGTGAGCATATTATGTTGGAATGATCTCAAAAAATGAAGACATGAAAAAACGAGATGCATTCAGACAAGAGAAAAAGGAGGGATAACATGGGGAAAGTTTTATCACATAAAAGAAGTGTGCAAGGAAGAGCTTTTACAGTAAAGTGGGAAATTATTAGAGGAGGGAAATGCTTGAACCTCATTCTCATCAGAATTGGTTCACAGAGGGAAGAATACATACATACATACATACATACATACATACATACATACAAACACATTCAGTTGAGCATAAAAATCTATAATACCCAACAGGAGGGAAAGGGGATAAGAGAAAGGGGCAATGGGCAATCATGAAAAAGGGTGGATTAAGGATGACAGTCATCAGAAGCAAAACAGATTTTTGAGGAGAGACAGGAAAAAAGAAACAAAGAAGAATAAACAGAAAATAGGATGGAGGGAGATACAGTTAGGAATCATAACTGTGAATGTGAATGGGATGAATTCATCCATAAAACAGAAGCAAATATCAGAGTGGATGAAAAAACAATCTGATAATAGGTTGTTTTCAAGAGACACTTGAAACAGAAAGACACCCAGAGAGCTAAAATAAAGGACTGGAATGAAATAGATTATGCTTCAGCTGAAGTAAAAAAAAAAAAGGCAGAGGCAATCATGATCTTATACAAAACAAAAGCAAAAACAGACCTACAGAACTACAAAACAGAAACTACATTTTGCTAAAAAGGTAACAGATAATTAAGCAATATAAAAATTTTACAGCATTTCTCTGATAAAGGATTCATTTCTCAAATATATATGGAACTGAGTCAAATTTATAAAAATAAGAGCCATTCCCCAATTGATAAATAGTCAAAGGATATGAACAGGCAATTTTCAGAAGAAATCAAATTTATCTATGATCTAATGAAAAAATTTTCTAAATTACTATTGATGAGAGAGATGCAAATTAAGACAACTTTGAGGTAACTACATCACACTTCTCAGATTGACTAACATGACAGAAAAGGAAAATGACAAATGCTGGAGAGGATGTGGAAAAATAGGCAATCTAATGCATTGTTGATGGAGTTATGAACTGGCTCAACCATCCTGGGGAACAATTTGAAGCTATGTAAAAGGGTAATAAAACCATACGTACCCATTCACCCAGCAATATCATTAATACATGATTCCCAACTCAAATATTCTTCGTGAGGAGTCCAGCCCATGTACTCCCTCATCAGGCTGTTATTGTCTGGCAATGGGAAACATACAATTTTAAGGGAATATTACTTGCCATGAATGAGGAATCCAGTTTTCTCCTTCTAACATGGATCCTTCTTCTAATTTCATCAGGAACATTTCATGGAGGGCCCAAGCCACAGCATAAACACCATTGTAGACAGTGTAACTCAAGTCAGACATGGTCATGTGGAAGTAAAGCAAAGGCAAAGTCTCTAAGGAGGCATTTAGTGAACATTCTTCTTGCTTCCATTTTTCAGGGTCATCTGTACATCTGAATGTGGAGTACCAGAATTCTTTCAGTACAATGTCCTCTGAGTACTTAGCAGGGTTCACTGTCCTGAGAAAAGGCTTAAAACCAGGAACTTCACTTGTTAGGTGTGAAAATGTAAGTGACCCATGGAAATTATAACCATGAATATATTGGGGTCTCATGGTAATGTCCAAGTGAGAGCTGGGGACCCACACCTTCCATGACTAGTTATAAGGAAATTGTGAATATCTCAAGATCATTAATGAATCTGTATCACCATGAATGAAAATCACTTTGGATGCTGATATCACGATTCTGGGCATGAATGTTACCTCTGATTCTGCGTGTCTTCTCTCACTGACTGGAATCTTCTCTGTTAAGGGCACGCAGATACCATTATTTGCCATCTCCAATGTCAGTTCCTGAAGGAATTTCTCTCCTCTCAGATCATCTACAGTCACCAGAGCTACCCATGTCCATTCAAAGTGAATCATTAATCTGACCATACCTTTATGTAGGGAAGAGGGCCTGAGGGCCATCTGGTAAAGAGAAGGAAACTGAGCCCTGTTACACAGGATGGGATCAAATGGCCCAAAGGTGATCTGGATGTGAAAGAAACATGGGGAAATCTAAGCTCCAAAAATATGGTCTTGATGAATATATAAATGTAGGGTTGAAACCAATCAACTCAACTTTAGTTTTGATAATTTAATTAGGTGAGACTGTCTCAATTAATTAAAGACCTTGGACTAAGTATGAGGTATCTTTGAAGTCACTGAATGAAATAAAATGAAGTTGAACAGGAAACAGATTTCAATAGCCTGGAAAATGTGTTCATATCTCTAGAAATCATCTGTAAGTTGTTGAGGCAGTTGAAAGGGGAAAGCAACTCCAGAAACTGGAGCAGATGACTTTTCAGCACACCTCTGAGATTCAAAGCCAGGGATGAGCCATGGAAAAGAAGAGGAAAATCAAGGAGAGTCATGGGCTCTATAAGCATCTCAGACCAGAAGACTCAGGCTGTGGGAAACCCCAAGAAAATGTTGTCTCTTTTTTCTACTTCTCCTCCAGATGCCTGAATATGTAGACACCCTATAATATAACCTGTTGTTTCATTACCCAAACATTTCCAGTAAGCTCAATTTTTCCTCAACCACAAAGAGGCCAGGAGTTAACTAGAGACAAATGTAAGTGTAATTGTAATGTTAGACAATTTACTTTTAGACATTAGAATTTTTTCTAACTGGGGACCCCTCATAATTGTAATTGAATTCATTACAGTTTTCTTAAATAAACTCCCTAAAACTCAAGAAGAAGGAACCACGTGGACACTTAAATGAGCTAATTATTTTAATGGTATAAAAAGTATGTAAAAGTATCCATTCCTATATGTCATCCTTTGTTAGGGGAAAGGGTATGGATTTCATGATACACTCTGTTATCAAAAAAAGCATTTTTATTTTCCATCAGACCTTCATATTTACTCAATCTCTGAGCTATCTGAAAGACAACTTTGGGTGAAGAAAGAAATTTCTAATTCTTCTATTTTATCTGCTTAATAACGTGTGCCTTCCCTCTTCTGCCCACATGACACTAGAATATATTCCTTCTCCTTGTTTTTGTTCTTCTACTATGGTAGATTATCAGGCTAAAATTGATACATCTTCCTTGTATTGGGAATGACATTTGTGTGAAAAATAAAACAAAACTGAAGATCATGTGTATGCATGTTCTGTGTATTTTAATGAGACCGAGAGTGTAATTAGCATGCAAGTGAATTAGCAATGTTTAAGTATTGTACTCAGAGCTAGCCAATATGGTGGTTTTCTCCTTGAAAATGGAATGTGTATTTTTGCTTACTAAGACATTTAGAAAAAATCTATATGTAAAGATCTAACATGCACGCAAATGGCATCACTCTGAATCTTAAAATTTTAGCTTACACATCCTTGTTTAGAGTTAGTATGCCTAAATATAAAATATTAAGCCAGCTTGTTAACAAATCCATGACTAACTGGGCAAGGATTAAATTACACACGCAGGTCAAAAGTTCATTACCACAGAATTGATTCACAGGGTGTTTCACATTTAATGAACTTGGGAAATGAAATTTTTGCATCAAGGAAAAAGAAATCAAGTTGACTATACATAGATCGTCTGTGTGTGTGTGCGTGCGTGCGTGCAATTTCTCCCAGAATTTTCCAAACTGGGGGCTTGGTGAAATTGTCACTTAACTCATCATAATTTATCTAAATAAATTCTCTAATACTGAATAAGAAGGAATCACATGGATATTAGGTCTATTTTATTGGCTTGTAGGCTTAAAAATGTCAATTATTGCAAAAAGATCTTATAAATGAATTGTAGGAAATTACAGACTCTCATCATAATCCAATGTTACTGAGCGGATATCACCTCAGTAATGATACTAGGAAAGTACTGTCACTAGAAAGTTATATTAGAACAGTAATCACTGGTAATTTATACTAAGAAGAAGCCCATTAAGGAGATTGAGCCAATAGAATTAGAAAAATAATTCCAAACCCTCAGGATGACTCTTATCCCTCGAAGGGGGAGATGGAATTTCCCTCAAGGGATGTGACTTGCTAATATGAATGAGAGCTGATATAGCAGCTTCCAGAGTCTATATGGGCTTTATTTATAACCATATGTATATGTGCACACACATACACACACACACACGTTGCTAAAATCTTTGAGTAAATATCTTTTTTTGTTTACTTACTTTTCATAAATTTTGCAAGATACATTCCCAAAGTAGAAACAATCTAAATGTCCAATAATAGGGAAATAAATAAAATGTGGCAAATTAATCAGGATTAAAAAGTATAAGGAATACAAGGAAGCCTGTAAAGATCTTGATGAAATAATTTGAATTGAAAAAAAAATTATAACCACAATAATGGAATATGTATTAGCTACCATAATATAAGAATGAAAAGGTAAGTACTAGGTCAAATGGCACATTTATTGCTGTTACACTTATTGCGTACTGTGATAATTGCTATCCAAAAATGTTCTATAAGTCTGCAATTTCATCAGGAATGAATTAATTTACTTCATTCTCCACAAACATGTAAGCAATTTAGTTTCACAGTTTTTCCTTACATTTTCCAGTTTAATGGGTGTGAAGTGGGCACATCGAAGATTTTTTTTAATGTTTTATTATTGAGGATGAGTACTTTTCAAGGGGCTATTCACAATTTATGTTACTTCTTTTGAAAATGTTTTACAACTATGACCTTTTGTTCATTGTTGGCCGGGAATTTTTGTAACTATTTATTGGTGTATAGGGAGGAATTAGGAACAAAGTTTTATTAAAAGGTATTGAAAATTGTTTTTATATGTAATAGGGAAAAAATAAAATATTATTTTAAAAAAAGTATAACAGATGGGAGGAAGATTTGATTATACCCTTCTATAGCTCAGGTGATACAGTCACAGGATGAAACCACAAATGATAAGGTTTTAATTGTTAACAAGGTGTTACCACGCTGTTAGTCTTTTATGAAGTATGAAAAACTCTCTTCTTACCGAGTCAGGAAGAAGTAACTTCATTTGATGAGGAAAAAAATAAAGTTAGGTGTATTTTTTAAAATAAAAATTAAATCAGGAAGCAACTCAAACTAGTTTTAGTCCCTACTCTTCTATCAATTACATTTGAGACTTTGGGCAAGTTGTTTCATCCCACGATCCTCGGGGACTTTCTCTGGATAATGGAGAAGTAGGCCTGCACAATCTCTACGATCCTTTTATGTGATAAAACTTAGGGGACGGTGATTTTGTCCTTGCTATACAATAAAGGGGGGCAGTGCCCAAGGGTAGGCCCACTCTCTCCCATGTGTAGGTTTTCAAAATTATACTGTTGATGTCGTTGGTGTAGGAATTTCCAGGCAAGACGTAATTTCTACTAATACACGTTAACACCTTCTCTGAAATTCAGTCTCTGAGAGTTGTTTAGAGTACTGAGAGGTCAAGGGTCACACACCACTAAGTGGCAGGAGTAGCTTTTTTTAACCTGGGCCTCCTGAGCCCGCTGCCTCTCAACGGTTTGATGAAGCCTTAGAAGGTGTCAGGGCCAATATTACTCACCTGAGGATATTTGTAGAGGTCAAGCAGGGTCCCCATCTGGACAGACAGAGCTGGGGTGGCTCCTCCAGTAACAGCCACAGACGTGTCCTGCTCCCAGCAGCTGTAGTTAGGGATGAGCTGGCCCTGCCCAGACGGCCAGTGCAGGGAGCTCTCCAAGGTCCTCTCATCACTGTGGGAGGTGTTGTAGAGGTGGAACGTTGGGCAACAGGTTAGGGTCCCTGTTGATCTCCTCTACAGCAAACATTAGGGCCAGGGCTTGTTGGTAATTTTTGTATAGCCACCTAAAGAGGAGAGAGTCAGAACCCATTAACAAAGCCTGTAAAAAGAATTCATTTAGGGAAGGAGCCTGTTCCAACCACGTATGGGTCAAACCTAAGAACTGTAGCTCATTTTGAGCATATTAATAATGGCCTCCCTTGTTTTTATACTGCTTCTCTCTTGTTATTCCTCAAATGTTGAGGATTATTTGCTTTGAGTTCCTAGCACGGTTCTACCTGCCAGAATAATTCACTTACTGAATCGCTCACTCATTAATTCACTCATTCAACAAATATATAATAAACACCTACCATTTCAGAATTGCAGAGTTTGAGATTTTCAGAACACCTCAGAAATCATCTAATCTAATATATTCTCACAAGGAAATTCCACCATAACATTTCCTATAAGGAATATAATAGCTTCCCCTAAGAGATAAATGAAGAAATCCTGTGAAGTCTAAAAAAAATCAACACAATCCTCAGTCATTCTGTAACAGTAACACCAGAAATGACTGCCAAAAGCCATGTTCCCTTCTACAGTCTGGGTTTGAATCTCATCTCACTCACAATTTTCCCTTGTCCTCGCTAAGCTTCAGCCAGCATTAGTCCTAAACCTTCACCCACGTTCCAGGTATGAGCTCCCATGATCCCTGTTCCCAAAGACTGATTCTGCTAATTCCAGATAAAAATCCTATATAACTCCACCCCTTCTTACCCTCCTGAGACAACTAGCTCTATTCTGGACCCAGAAGACTGAAGCGTGTCCCTCCTCCTTTCTCACCTGGTACTACTTTGTGAGCATCTCCCTGATCCCCTCAAAAATCCCCTCCCTTGCAATACTTTCTCTATTTCTGTTTCCTCTGGGTTCTGTCCAATGCTGTTGGCCCTTCTAGCAATGCCAATCCTTGTAGATTTCTCTTCTCGGAAGCACGTGTGACTAACAATTCGGTATCTGCTCCTCTTTCCCAAGTTTTCTGACTTAGACAAAATAGAGAATGAGGGGTGAATTGGGAAGCTGGTGCTTTAGTACCACTGGCCCCCTTCTTTTCTCTGATGCCATGGCTATGTCTTATCTAGGCCTTATCTAGAATCGCATGGCTTTCCCCCCGTAATATAAGAGAGAGATAAGGGAGATTGCAGGCTCCTTCCTCTGTGTTAGAATAATACCTGACAAAGGCATGTTCCCATAACTTATCCAAACATCTCCTGTCCCGAGAATGCCTAGGATACAGTCAAGAGAAGCATGATAGGCCCACAACTTGTAATAAAATGCACTGGGTAATATATGGCCTGTGACTGGTACAGAAAGAGTTAGTAATGCTGAGCAGGGGGAGGCACCTTCCTAATAGAGGAAGTCTACATGAAGTACAGCCCTGGAAGGGTAAGGATGTTCATGGTGAAAATAAGGATCTTCAGGAGAGAGACATCAGTGTACAAGGGCACAGAAACATGTTTGAGGCTTAGGAAGCTTTCCAAATTTGTACCCACAAAATCTGCTAGCAAGTGCTATGTAAGTGAATTAGGGTCAAGATCTGGAGGCTTCACCCTGCCCAATCATCTTCTCTCCTCACCTTTTCCCTTTTATGGTAGGGACCCAGAAAAGCCAAAAACCAAAAAAAGTAAATTGCTATCAAGAATTTAATTAACCAGCCCCAAACTCATAGCCAATCTCGTATTCTTGTCAATATGCTCCAAAATGTTTAAAATCTAGAGATATTTCTCCAGCAACTCTCATCTTTAAGGTGATTCAGAGCTGTGTTCCAGAAGGTGCCAGGTAAACACAAGGGATTCTTCAGGTCATCTTGTTCACTCTATCATTAACGTCCAAACTGACTTACCCTCTATTAACTGCCTGTTTTCTAAAATTTGAAACCTTTTGTCCATTCTTTCTTCATTCACGTTTGCTACAATTAGAATAAAGGAGAAAAGAACCCAATTCTCCCATCCACATGAACAAACACCATTCTCAAGGAAAAGTCTGGCAAAGGCTACATAGAGACAAAAAAGAAAATTTGGTCCACAATGGCCTTTTTGCCCAATGCTACACATAAGGTGAGAGCATGTTTATCTGCCTCTTTTCAACTATCATCCACTTGGCCTAGGTGGTGAACAAATACATAATAGAAAAAAATTGGAAATATCTTAAAATACTCAAAAAATATAAGCAAACATTAAAATATTTCCTTATTTTAGACCAATGAAGATAAAAATACGGAAGACAGAAAAGAAAGGTACAAAGGGAATGTAAAATGTAGAAAGAACTCAAAAGCAATAGAGATGCACAGACACAGAGACAAACAGAGGAGGGCACAATTGTCATCTTCCATGCCCCATTCTTCATCTGCCAAAATCAGACCAGCAAGTCCCTTGTCAGGCCCATGGCTTGCAGGGGCCTCACAATGAAA